TCTCTCTCTCTCTCTCGTCTCTCTCTCTCTCTCTCTCTCTCTCTCTCTCTCTCTCTCTCTCTCTCTCTCTCTCTCTCTCTCTCTCTCTCTCTCTCTCTCTCTCTTTCCTTTTTCATCCCGCTCTTTCCCTCACGTACTCGCGCACCGTCTTTATCTTCTTCTCTCCCTCTCTCGCTCTCTTTGCTCCTGTCTCTTTCTCCATCTCTCTTTTTCTCTCTCTTCAGCTCGTTCTCGCGGCGCACGGGTCTCGAGCAGCAGCTTCTTTAACGTTCCATTACCGGCGTTCTATGGAATGCATCGGTCTCTCGCAACACCTACGAAGACGAAGTCCGCGGAATCGGCCTTAAACCTTCTGCCGAGATAAACGACGGAGCACCGCTGAACTTCTCACCTCTTTGGCTGATGCACGAGCATCGATCGTTAATGCTTCAATCGTAACTATATGTTAGACTACGAAAACATTTTGGAAGTCAACGAATTAAGATTTCACGGAGGCACTAAAAGCTATACATATATTTAATTAGATTGTTTTATCTAAAAATTCGTTTAACATAATTAGTATTTATGTTAGTATTTCTTTATATTTCATGTTTGATCGAGTATGATAAATTTCAGTCTTTTAACTTTACATAAAATGTGCTAAATATTATCGCTCTGTGAGATTTCTTTTTTTTCCACTGTGATAAAAGTTTATTTAAACATTACATTTTAATTAATACAATCGTAAAATTTGAACGAGTAATACATAAAGTGTATTTCTTTTTAGCAATTTGAATTTTCATAATGTTCAACATTCATCGCCATTTCGATACCCGATGGACATTTGTTAATCCGCCAATTTCATTTCTAAAGTCTTAAATCCTGCAACTAATATCACGTCATGCAATTCGAAATTGAAGTGGTGCCTTAGTTTTATTGTTGTTTTTTATACACGTAAATTTAATTAAAATGTGCTCCAGTATGTTCGCGCCATGTTACTAAGAAGATACTTTAACGATTAATATCTTTACAATTACCGGTGACATCTTATTGCAAATGGCCAAGAGCGCAAATGCTGCGAAAATGAGCAATCGGCATTACTTCCTCAATGATTACAGTAATCCTTGAGGCGATAATTGACACATATTTATGGTCAACAACTACGTGCCTGTGGATGAAAATGGGCCAATCACGATGATATCCCCATGTGGGCATTCCAACCGAGACGGATTGTATAGATCCTCCAAGCAATAGTACTCGCGTGCGGTAACGCACGGCGATCTATGGTGGTAGAAGTGCCGTAGCGTTGGTGATGGTGAGCGGATCGCCTTGACGAGAAAATCACGTGGCCGCGGGAAATGACTTGTTATATAAACTAACGATTATCTCGATACTTGTACATTGCCACATCTAATCCGACGAGTATGACACGATCGTCTCGGCGAGACCCTTCCCCCCCCCCTCCTGCGACATGTTCGTGTAGCATTTGTTACGACCGTGGAAGAAATAGCGAGGCGACGTAACCGGACTAACCGCCCGCCCCCCCCTCCCCCCCCCTCCTCCCCCCCGTCGAACCGACATGCGCCAATCGCACGCACGATCGCTTGACTCGATTTTACTTAATCGGGGGAAATTCTGCGGGACATCCTAAGAGATTCATCGCTCGCAAAGTACTCGGTACTCTCTAAGGAATACGTGGAGGCGCGTAGAGCCAGCTCGAGGCAGTTACCCGGAGGGATTACCCGATCGCGGTGTTCCGATCTAGGTGCATCGCGTATCTAGGGCAGCGAAATACAATCGGAGAGTCTAGGCCGCGATGCGAGAAAATCAATGCGGAGCACTCGCGATGCCGGCGGGTGCACGACGGATAGAAGTAAAGTCAAGAAAGTGGGTCAACGTCGAGTCGGGCGCGAGTCCGAGAACCAAGTTCAGGGGCAAACTGCAGCGCCATGCCCGGAGCCACGGACTCCTCTCGTGCCTTAGGTTAAGTTCTTTCTCTCTTTCTTTCCCTCGTCGACGTGTACACGCATATACGCATACACGCGCGCGTATACGCGTGCACAGACCGCGGTCTATCTCTCGCTCTCTCTCTCTCTCTCTCTCTCTCTCTCTCTCTCTCTCTCTCTCTCTCTCTCTCTCTCTCTCTCTCTCTCTCTCTCTCTCTCTCTCTCTCTCTCTCTCTCTCTCTCTCTCTCTCTCTCTCTCTCTCTCTCTCTCTCTCTCTCTCTCTCTCTCTCTCTCTCTCCCCAGGGGAAAAAGAAGGTAAAAGAGAGAAAGAGAGAGGAAGAGAGAAAGAGTGCAGGAGGCGGTCTAACGGACTCCGCTCTGGTCTGCCTAGTTTTATTTTTCCGACGGACCCAAGCCTGGCCATTCGTTCCGTCCCTCTCTTGACCGCCTTGGACCCTCCCTCGCACGCGTGCGTGCACGCGCGTGTGAGCACAGGGAAGAGGGAGTGATCGTACCTGCGCTTCCCCTTATTTTCTCTTTCTCCGCGTTAGCTGATCTTGGCCTAGGTCTCATCGGTGCCGTCGCCGCCGTCGCCGCTTCAAGAGTGCTTTCTCCCGAGCAAACTGGCATTTCATGACACATTTTTCGGTCGAACTTGGCCCAGAAATAACCGAGTTGGAAAGTGTAAGTGAAAACCCTTCGCTCTCGAATAACCGTTTCTAGCCACGACGATGGTTCAACGCGTCTGCTTTAGACGACTAATGTCTTCGAGTTAGAAACGGACGATGACTCGGTCGGAGTTTCAAAAGTTACTCTAGCAAAAGACCAAGCGAGATGTTAAGGGAAACGCGTTCCCTCTCATTTTATCGTAAAATACTTGAGGAAAAATAATAATCTGAATAAAATCGATTAATAGGGCTCTTCTTCGAGAGATGAGACTTGAAATTTTGTTAGTTTCATTTCCATCTTGATGCAGTCACTCTTAATACATTCTCCAAGTAAAGCTGATCTTTCGTGGATACCTTCGCGAATCACGTGAATTTGTTCGAATTAATTAATTAATTGTACGAATATACGAATTATTACTAGTTCGTAGTAATTGTCTTTCTCGTCTAATTCGCCTTGTGCTAATACTGCCGTGACCGTGGCCGTTGTCGCAGCCGCGCGATTCCCTTTCCTGAATTTGTCGATCGTAACACGTTTGCATTACTCATGATAAGTCTCTTACGACTCTGCCTTTCCGTTGTTCGAATTCTCTTTCACTCCTCCGTAACAACGCGCGGAAAAAAAAAAAGGATCGAGCGAGTAAAGTGACCTCGACAAAATCGTCGTCACGAAGGCCGTTCGGCACGCGCGAGCGCACGTATTATTATGCTGGCTGCTGTACTCTACCAACCGGAAGATATATTATATCGATTAGCGATAAAGAGCGCGCTTATCCACCTAGCGAGTGCACTGCGGATACAGGCGGATACAGGCGCATACAGGCGCATACAGGTAGGCTGATGGTGGGAAGGTAGTCGGCCTCAAGTAGGCAGGATATAGGTAGCCAACGGGTCACTCGGGCCGTTTCTGTTTTACGTCTTCGTACACATGTCTGTTTTACATGCACATGTGCATACAGCGGCGCATCCGCGCATTTCAATCCACTTAT